TGGAATGATGTTGAATGGAATCGACCCAATGATGATTACGAGAGATGCTCCATTATATGCTCATGCAACGAAATAATATTTCATGCAAAATTCTTCCTTCTTGTTCAGTTGTTGCACCTGTTCAATTGTCTACGGGCGAGTTGTCGGGTAGTAGATTGTGGAGTGTGCTTCGGAAAACAAAGGCTGCGCTGCTTTCAGCTCAGGAATTCAATTTACAGTATTTCCAGGCCTTCCGCTTCTTATATAGGCAACAGGGTGAAAATCTCCTTTTTTCAATGAAGGTTCTTCTCGTTGATTAGAGAGCTCGACCGGTTATTGTCAATGCAAGTTCTGCAGTCGTCGTCTTTGTGGAATCCGCAGTTTTTGTTATTTCGGAATAACGGAGAATTCCGCAATCCAAAATTTGCATTTCCTGAAGAATCCAGCGCGGAAATTCCATGTTTCCTGACAAATCCAACTCGTGAATTACAACGACATTTACATGAAAAGAGTTTTTAATTTAAAACTGGAGAACTTCGGTGGAATTTAGGTGTGCACTTTTTGTGATAAATGAGAATGTTTTTCTTGCACGAGTTGTCAGGACTTTTTCAGCGCCATTATCGGTTTGAAAAGTTCTTGTCCACGCAAAAAAAAAAAAAATCCACGGAAATAAGCTATCAAGGAATTTTCTCAACTCATTACTGAAACAAATCTTCAATGGCACGAAGAGAAATTATCGCTCAGTCGGAAGCAGAACTCGGATCGGATATTTCCTGAGAAAGTGTCCTTCCTGTAGAGAGGGAACTGGTGCAGCAGGCTCTTCACCTGTTGCACTGCAGTATATGAAGGGCAAACCCCGGGGGATGAAACCGAGCTTCATGCACATTGACAGTCAGACATTGTTTTATTCAGTCAGACCCATTCCTTATTCATTTTAAACTTTTCTTGGCTCTTGAAAAGTTAAAAAAGTTGGATTTTTCTATTGTAAACTTTTAAACTTTAAACATTTTAAACTTTTCTTGGCTCTTGAAAAGTTAAAAAAGTTGGATTTTTCTATTGAGCTGAGCAACATATTTGTTATTAGCTATACTATCCTCATGCAGAAGATAAAGAATCCCGATAATAAGTTGGGCTCTCTTTGACTCAGTATTCCGGTTGCTTAATCGCGTGATACGCGAAGTCTTCATATCTTTTATTTTACGAAGCATAAATCACGAATAGCCACCTTCAGCTGCTAACCTAATCTCCAATAACTTTGCATAAATCACAGGCTGACGTATAACCACTCAACAATTTTTGCTTAACCTGTGTCGTAGAAAAAGATAATGCATGCATACTCCCAACATATGAGCTGGAATCTAGCAAGAGAAAGCCAGAAGTCAAGATTTTTCTAAAGTTCACTAGTGTAACCACGCATATACTTCAGCACAACTTACCTTGATGAAGTAATAATAATTACACTATGAAGTATAAAAAGAAAATTTGCATACACCCTCGGTTGTATGGACGCTTAAACTATTACGACGATAATCAACTTCATCCCATGCAGAGAAAAAATGTGCGTCCATTTTCTGAGATTTCCCCAATCGGAAACATTGATGAAATAAAATGGAAAGTTCACGAGTGTAACCACGCATATACTTCGACACAACTTACCTTGATGAAGTAATAATACAATTAAACTATGCATTATAAAAATATATTTGCACACACCCTCGGCTGTATGGACGCTTAAACTATTACGACGATAATCAACTTCATCCCGTGTAGCGAAAAAATGTGCGTCAATTTTCCGAGATTTCCCCAATCGGAAACCTTGATGAAAATGGAGGGTTAAATTTCTTATTGTTTTCGTGGTTTCGAGAATCGGAAGGATGCATCGCATGCTGGCCATATGCAGGACTTCGGGAGATGGAGGCAACGTTGTGGATATGCTTTTCCCCGAGGCGAAGCTTATTTCAAGGCAACATTGCATTCCATCGTGAGTTCCGCATTCCGGTGATTCGAAGAGAATGTGAGGCTCATCTGCGGAACACCGGAAGTTGTGTGGGCTGCAGCGTGTCTCGAAGCGGTATAGCGATATTTGCGGACGATTGCCTCGCTCCGCAACCGGACGCGTTTCCGGGCTAGAAGCGGCTTATTGTCCAGCCGCGATTTCCATTTTTCATTTCGAATGGTGCCCGCGGCGTGGGTGTAGGATTATCTCGTTGTTTTATTGGTAAAACAGGTCGAAAAAAGAATTAGGTGCACGGCCTGATTAATTGACTATCACGCAAAGGTTGCCATTTTCACTAGCATGAGAATCACCCGGTATTCCGGTAACTCCAAAAATTGGCTGAAGATTTTCGTGTTGTGATACTGTATTTTCTCAAGTACAGTATAGTGATGGATCTAACTTTCGTCATGATTAATTTTACTGGGTAATGCTTAGCTTATCTGCGTGTATAAACATTGTATCGTGAGTTCGTGACTCCGTGAGAAGTAAACAAGTATGGTAATATGTTCGTAGGAGCCGCTTCTAATTGTTGATACCGTAGTTCTCTTCTTTTGTTCATTGTAAAACGATTCACGATTTCAATTTTAAAATTACCAGTTGAGAGGTACAAGTGTTTAGCTGTCTCATTAAAAAGTGGGCAAAAATGTTCAAGACTCGTGAAACCTTGAATTGCATTTGCTCTATATCACCGTGGTTCACCATGGACATTTCCTTTCTATGTTCAACCTAACATTCACCAATTTTCTCGATTCATCATCTCAAGCATTCCTATGCCAAATAGTTTCAACGAGTGATGAAAATCAAAATCCAACTTCGACATTTGTCTATTATACGAAGGCATCCGTGGTTTGGCAAGCCAGGGCAACCTTGCGCGATTATTTTGGTGATTTCGAAGAACAGACTCTACTTTTCTGCTTTAGTCATGTTCTCGCAAACGGGGAAACTGAAATTTTGTGATGCAGTACTTCTGATTCATCCATTTCTATCAGCAAACATCCATCTCGAATGGGCAATAAAATCGCAGAGGTTTCCACCCGGCTACCATAGGAATCCTTTTATTCCATATTCGAGCGAGTCGGAAGAAAGTCTTGTTTCAAACGATAGCGAGTGACATCTACACCAAACAAGCAACTTTTCTTTTAACTCACACGTTGATTGCTGACAAACTGTCGTATCCAACTCGGATTTTTTTTCTTCTTGAGCTTTACCGACATTTCACTGAACTTCAAACATATGCTTCTTATGCTTGATTATTTGTGCATGAATACCTCTATAGTATTTGTACAATTCTAATTAATTCGAGCTTTTGATGAAGCCCATAAGCAACATTTCGATTTTTTGGTTATTTTGCTCAAGATTTCCTCAAGAATAATGATCAAAAATTCTCATCGAAAGTTTTTATTCGGAAATGTAAAAATTTTCGAGTATTTTTAGCCTTTTCAACACACCTACGATTTCAAATTTTCAGTGTCAACGTTGTTTTCATCTTCGAAAAACGCCGTCAATTCTGGGTCATAGTATGGTTTTTTCTACACCATTTTAAAAATGCACATGGTGATACATTTATAGAGCTAACTCTTCCCTTCCTCCCATTTCCCATGTTAGTTTTTTTTCGACCAACGTCAAACATCATTCTCACATAAGTGAACCATTACATAACGTAATGACGCAATAATCATATACTGTACAACTTTCAATACTGCCTCATTTAGCAACACAAACCATTGATCACATGTGTCAATGCTAGCAAATAATGAACACCTACCTCACTCGCGAAATGCTGGTATGATTTCAAAATGCATACGAACTGCATCAAATTAAAATATGAGCTTGCTGGCAAAAGTATCATTACGGCCTAAGGGATTAAATAAATGAACACGTGATCCGACACACGACATATTATTGGTTGTTTCACCAAACTTTCCCGTCGGCGATTTTTTCCGCGAACTCTTCCCAATTCCACGATAGACTTTTCATAAGTGCACTAGGCGATTGATGCACTGGAACGTGTCGCACCCGCGACCATTCCGAGTGGGTTCGTTTTTATTTTTTTTCTGGGGAAGAATGGTTCGATGCTCTTGTGTCCAAAAGATAATTGCTTCGAACTAGACACAAGGCCATGCTGAGGGGAAAAAGCTCCTCAGTCATGCAGTATTTGTATGTATTTTATCCGTGACGAAGTATTCTTGACACCGACTCACTCAGGCAGAAAACCGAAATGACTCGATTTTTTTCTTTGAAACAAAGAAGAGGAATCACTCATCGTTATATAATCGTGTCTTTTGTATGCTTCTGATGGGTATGAAAGTATAAAATATGATGTTAAACATTCGGGTGGACAATTATTTTTGGACAAAGTACTCGTACCATGCTATTTAAAAAAAAAATCATTGCATGGTGCTCGGGGACCCACTTGTCAAAGGCGTGCCATTGGAAATACTGTGGATAATTTTGGTATACGATTTTCCCCTTTTCTCTTATATTGTTTTGAACACGCAATTTTCTGAGACGTTTTGTTTCAAGACGTGCGCACATCTGCTCTGGATGCATTGAGTACGAACTGATTCGCTAAAAATGTCTGTCCTGAACAGGAGTGCCATGACATTCAAGAAACTAACTTTTAATTTTCATGCTCCACTCATTCGCTATCATGACTCATAGACTGGATTTCCCAGTTCCGCTTGGGAGACAATCCTGTCACTGAAAATTTGATACGCGATTCAGTCCAAGTCTGTTCGTCGGTTTCCTTGTGATGCTTCACTGCCTTGGTTGATATTACTGGCAATTTGCGACATGTTCTACTGCACTTTCTTGTATTGTACTTGTACATATAGTTGAATCGTTGAAAAAAATTGAAATGCATCAGTTCCGCCTTGAGGCGTCGAAAATGTCACTATAAGGCCAAAAGGCGTCACTTCGGTCAATAGGGGAATAGTTGGACGAATATATGCTTGTCTTGTACTCGACAGAAAAATTATGCACCCACGGAAGACCCTCGCCAGACGGAATTTAAAGCAAACAAAGGTCACGGAAAGATGAGTTTTTATTCATGAAAAGGCAGAAGTAGATTGCGCAAGTTTTCAAGAATTTTAATGCCACGAAACAAAAGTGAAGTGCGTTTCCAGCTAATGAGCATCATCAGGTAGCGTGCATTTCAGTCTCGGGATCCAGTTCGTGCTTTCGTTGTCTCCTTTTAGTGCACGACCTTCGAATTCATTCAGCCATAATATCCTGTAATTCAAAGTAAAATATTAGATACACAGTACGTATAATTTGAAAAAAGCAAGATTAGAAATTAAATATGGGGATCAGAGAGAAGTTTGCTCCGCCATTGCAGCAGTTTTTTTTTATTCCTTCTGACAGTTCAAAATAATTTGGCCGGGGTATTTAAATTTTGCGTCTTTTCGGGGAATTTCGATTTTGTGGACTGAAGTTTAGAGGAAACAAAATTCAAAGGACGGAATGACTGGAGTGGAAAACTTCATCATCTCGTTCTTCAGTCCAAAATATCGCAATCACCCGAAAAAACCACACGTCCAAAAGCCTGTTGTACTTCGGGTTACTCTAGAATTCTAGATTGTTCAAGTACCATAATTTCTAGTTTATCTGAAGTACTCAATCTTCAGCTGCGTTGAAACTTCAGCTCTTCTTTTCATTCCGAAACTGCTGTCGAAATCGTATGTGAAGTTCAAATGGATTCACACTGGCAGAGTAATTCACTCGTGAATACTTTCCAATGCGCAAAGAATTGCTAACGTGATTGAAACAGTGAAGACAAAGTAATTCACGAGTTCGTGCACTCGTTTTCTCGACTTTCCGAGAAAAGCCTCTGGCGTTTGGAATATTACTTCTCAAAACGAATCGGATTACTTTACTGTTTTTTCGTTCTTTCTGTTTTGTACCAGCCAAGCTTTAGCCTTCACTTCGATTTCCGAATTGAAAACAGCTTTCGCATTTTCGCATTGGTATTTTATGATACAAACTCACCACGACCATAACCCCTGCCGTAACCTCCTCCTCGACGACCCCCAAATCCTCCACGACGTCCTCCGTAGCGCTGCTCAGAAACCGACAAGTCCTCAGATTGATCGCTCGAATCCAGTGGCTGGGGTTCATTCTGTGCCGCAACAAAGGCTCCGAAAAGGGCCAACACGGCGAAAAAGATCAGAGTCTATGCGCAAAGAAAAAAAAAATAGAGAAAACACTTATTAATCTTAAATTTCATTCCAGGGCTCCGCGGAACACTCACGATTCTCATGTTGCTCGATGAAAAAATGTTTCAGAAACAGTTCGCCTGTACCAATTTGAATCTGCTCTTCGACTTGAGGAGTGCGAATGGCTGATGTGTCAGTCGGCAAGAGCAGCTTCGCGGTTTTTATAGCCCGTCGAAAGGTGAATCAGGTAAAGGCGTTGGCTACTATTCGTGCTCCGGAAAATCATTAGGTATAAAGTGTAAGACGACCTTCGCAGATAGCCATGAATCCATTTGACTAACTTTCCGACTTCGGGATATTCCCGTGCGGCGCACCCGCGGCAATTCCTGCTCATCATTGTGTTACGTAAAGGAAAAATGCTTCTGCGCAATAGTTCCGCCTTTGAAGTTTCACCATGGAGTCGTCAGAAGTCTTTCAATGGGTTTCAAAAGTACGAGCTAGGTACTGCGCTGGAATCATTTCATTTACAGTGATTTTTTTTCGAATGAACTGAAGGACAATGTGTCCTGATTTGAGACTCATACTGTACTTCGATTTTTCTGCGCAAAATGTGGCAAAAATGCTAACCCCACATAAGACTCGCGTCCCAGTTGTTTTTGTTATTGTCGTTGTTGCTGAAATACAGCATTCGGTTCATAAGTAATAAATTGTAACGCCTTGAAACCTTAAAATTTAATCAAAGAAAACGCAAAGAATTTTATCGGGATTGGTGTCGAGGATAATTTCCCGTAAAAAAATTTTCCACCTAAGACAAACTTCTGGCACACGAAATGGTTTCATGATTTTTTCTTTTTGAAAAAATGGGGATTTTGTTGAATATTGTTGTGTTACTACAGGGATATTTTTGACACAATAAATTCCCTCGATGTACTAGATCAAAATCTATGTACTACAGTGCATCGATTTTGAATTTCGCTGTCCATTCTTTTCTTTGTTTCTGATTTCAAAAAATGTCTCAAGCATATATCCTGTCAGCTTGTCCGAGACAAACAAAATGTACTGTACTGAATTTGAAAAACCCAAATACTGTAAAACATCTGTTGCATGGCATGGAAACTGGAATCTCGTCAAATGAACTTTGTTATTTCGTCAACATCATTTTATGGCTCATTGATGTTTATCTTAATATCGTTGGGCAAATAAAATCAATATTCGACGAAAATGTGCGTTTAAAAATAAATTCTGGTTTTCCCTTTTGTCAAATAGCTTTCCTATATATACGAGTTTATTTGAACACAGCAGTTCTGCGGTTTTAATTTAAATGTTTCTTCGACAGACCCAGAAAATCTCTCATATTTATCAAGCAACATTCATATTCAACTTGATGCGGCGTGTATCCCCGTTTAGATGCTTTGAAAAATCATGAAAATGTGTCTTTTCAAACTACTGTACCTGAAAGGAGAATGCAAGAATACTAAACAGCGTCCTCTCTGGATTCGAAAGCGCGATTTCCCAACTCCTGCGCTGTGAAGAATTTCTAGGAAGCACAGTTATTTCGAACAAAATGAACTCCACTTCTCAATTTTCCGACAATAACGCTAATTCCGGATAATGCGAAAGATTCGCTTAAGACGGCAGAACAAGTGAAATAATTTCCTTGGGCGTGCGTCGCAAATGAAAAGCAGGCTCTATTTCGGGAAAATGGAGAAAGTAGAAGAACACAGTTTGCTTTTGAAAATGTCACGGGAACATCTGACGCAGTCATCCTGCATTGGATGATGCTGAGGAAATCTCCGACTTCGCGAGGATCCGATTGCACTTCAGCGATGTTGAAAAGACTTCTTGAAGGGAAAGTAAAAATAGCGACCGAACGCTTTACCACATATAAAGTATTGAGAAGTTGTAATCCTGTCAACGGATGCACCAAGCTTGAACGCGTAAATTCATTCTACGCAGTCGTGCGATAACATCGCTCTGGGATCCCAGTTTTATCCCATTTCCCCGGATTTCCACCCACACTTCGGACGAGTCAACATGTTGATGATCGTCATCGGGGAAATTCAAATTGAGGGTGATGATTGAATTCAACTTTTCAACAGAGCTCAAAAAGGAGTTCTGTACTCGAGGCGATTCGCGATTCAAAATTTTACGACGGATCATCTCATGCAATGATAGCGTATCTTTGTGTTTCTCTGTATAGAATTACAACAAATGTTTTCGAGGGACCGCATTTTCAAATTTTAAACTTTCTCAGTCAATGCGTCGAATAATCTTCAGTCCGAGTTATTAAAAGATGAAAAAGGCAAGATCAATATTTCCGACAATCAGCACAATGCGTATAATTTCTTGCTGATTGACACAGTGTAAAAATTTAGCACCCCGTAATAATACATTTCTGGGGTTTTAAAATGCGTGACTTGGAATTCTCTCTCTAAATCTGCGAAAAAATGGAAAAGTAACGAGCCGATTGACATGCTGAACGAAACAGGACAATAACTTCTAAACACGGAATTCACCAGAAAATCATATTTGTCACGCGGGAAATGAGGGATTTAGGCTGAATTTATGAGAACTGCAAGAAAACGGCGATAATCCACAGTATATACATCTATATGCAGAGCAGAGATGTAACAGGTATCTTAATTGGAGCTGCGTTTCTCATCTTCAGTCAGTTCTGCTCGCAAAAAAAAAAACAACAACGCCAAATACAGTACGTCGGGTTTCATGCTCTACTATCTGCAAGATTAAGTCCGTGATTGCCGCAGCGAGTTGAGGTTTCTAAGGTAAGCCTTTGTAGAACACCGACAAACCCCCACTTCGGCTCTCTTTGAAAAAAGAAACGCCGATTTTTAGCTACTCTTTTTTAATGCAAAAACGCGACTGGAATAATTAAAAAGCCAGCCCCAAAATGTAAGGATAAGCCACTGAAATGATGGTCTCTGACAATAACGAATGTTGAAGAGTAACAAACTGGTTCTGTTCAGTCGAGAGAATGTATTTCAAGATAATTTGAATGCTATTCAAAATCAGGAAGCATTGAAATGACACACATACGCTAACAGATAATCTCTGGAACCACCTTTTATCTTCTAATCACTTTTTAATAGAAAACCAATCGAATAAGGGCAACAAGGAAGCATCACATACTTTGAGACGACTTCTCTGGGAAGGCTCTCTGAAATATTCAACATTACGTGACCTGAGTCATTACGATTTTGAAGCTTGATGCAGAAATACACTGAATCCCCTTGAAATTTTTTCAATGCATACTGTGTTGAAAATTGGAGCAATTGACGCCGTCTAGCATGAATTCTTTCATCCCGTCTGTCAATTGAATGAAGTTCTCTCGCATCATTCAACTGCAATTTATTTCGATTGATTTTTCTTATAGTTGTTTCATGTCTCTCAAAACATTGAAGGGCACCTATACAAACCCACTTTTGAGTTCAGCATGAATATTCCTGTTGCTGTGGCTCTGACAAAAAAAAAATCACAAGGATGAAACGGACGTATAATTTCACAAACATACGCAATATGTTGTTATTCGTGTCCTGCGGAGTTTCCCCCAGACGATTCCCTGGAATATCCGCAAACAAGTTCCAGCTGAGCGAGCCAAAACCTCGTCAACATTACCACGCACAAGGTTTGTCTCGTCCGCATTTGCTTCATGTTCTTACTTGTGTTTATTCGGGAATCTGTTTTCCTTTAGCTAATGTTTGCTATTTTATACACATTTCTTCATAATATCATAATTATTTTTGAAAATACACGGAGGTTGCATTTACGACTTTTCTTTCATTCGTATAGTCCCATTTTCAAGCTTTTCCCCACCCTAGGATGTACGAATTTTAGAAAAATACTCTCCTCTCCCTAGTGGTGTTGTCGCAAAAAAAAAAACTTTCATGTCCATGAACTACAGTGAGGCCCCCACATGCGGACACCTCGACCTGCGGACATTTCAACATAGGGACACTTATTTTCTCAGAAAAAATCCACAAATAAGGCCAAACATGAGGACACTGACTTAACATAGGGACATTTTGAGATAAAATTGCAAATACATTTCAGGCCAAATTACAAGAAACAGATACAGTCGACCCTTGTTAAACCGCCAACGTTTGTCATAAAAAATTTTGGCGGTTTAACGGGGTTGTCGGTTTATCGAGGGAGGGGGTGCCCCTATTAAAAAAAAACAGTTCAAACACCCACCCTTCTCCACCTGCCAGTCCATTCTTTGTTTCTTGGGAGCTCTTCCGTTCTACATATATTAAAACACAGAGAACCAAAAATTTTAATGCTGAGTTTAAAGATAAATTTGTTCAAAGTTAGTTAGTTAGGATGGGTTACTGTAGTTGAATTTGAATTATTTGGCGGCAGGTTAATTTAAATTGAATTGATTAATATAGGGAGGTTCTAATAGACTTGCCCCTTGCACAAATCAAGTCCATTAGATGGGGGTTGACTGTATTCACTAATTCAAATTCAAGTGGCAAACAATTTTTCTCAGGGAATTCTGAAGAATATTTCTTCCATAAAACACCAATAAAAATTTATATAATGTAAGTCTATGGGAAAACAAAACTCAACATAGGGATATTTTGACTTGGGGACACTCTTGATGCGCCAATTACGTCTGCATCTCCTGGTCTCACTTATGTTTTTTGAAAAGCTGCAAAGAAAAAACGCCACGAGGGCAAGATTATGGTCTGCATACGGCGACAAGTGCTTACATTTATCAGTTTTCGCGTCTATTTCTGTATCACAGTATTTGCACGGATAAATCACGAGATTGTGAGAGAAATCGAAGCTTCAAAGAAGACTCATAATATCTGCAGGGCTGCCAAAGTTCGGCAGTGATAATATCATACATTGAAAACAAACCATTTACACTTGCCGTGTACAGTAACTGTACACCGATTCTTGGAACTCTAAAAGTTTCAGAAGAAAGAAAAAATCTGGCACACAAGACGCAAGAATCCAATTCCTTTAATTCAGAAGAAGGTTTCAAAGAGGTTGCAATCGTTTCCCACTTCTTTCGCCCCTGACCTATAACTTTCCCTGAAAAAAAAATGCCGACCTCTCTTCGCCCAAGGAAAAAATGTGTTCATGCAGGGCAAGGAAATATGAAACTCGCCTGAATGACTCCCTTTGGATCACGCTGGCCCAAAAATTGCCAACAACCCGGGGGAGTCTGCCAAATCCCAGCAGGGCTTCTTTCCTGACCAGGATCTCCCAACACCTCCGGG